TCGGGAGTCCTTTCTGCACAGACCCGACTCAAACCTTGGGTACACGCCGGGACTTAATTTGTCTTTGAGTTTACTTAAATTGTTTGAATTTTAATTTTTTCCAGAGACGGGGAAAAAAAGGAAGAAGCATAATTCAGCCATTTTTTGCAGCACACAGCTGCAGGTACCATGATTATTTTCTCCCTAACCCGTTCTTTCCCTTTAAAAATCCTATTTATGCCTGAAATAGAACTATACGGAATGCGAGGTATAAAACGTGGAATCAGAAGGTCTGGGTTGACTGGGTGACTCTGAGAAAATCGCTTACCGAGCTTTGGTTTCTTATCTATGAAATCTAGTCACAGCACAGGGTAGTGAGGGACTATGAGGCCATATATATGAAAATAATCTGTAGAGTGGAGAAATAAAAATGCAAGGCAATTTTTTGAGTAACCTTTGCCAGAGTGGTTAATGCTGTAGTGGCTAACTGTTGCTGCCTCTTTATTTCTGTATTATGAGTATAAGCAATAAGTACGGAATGTCGAAGCAGTGCTGTGAATCGACTAGATATATAATAGTCACGTTGCTTGGCCTTCTTCCTACAAAATGCTAACTGCTTATTTAAATAACGGTATTCTTTAATTCAAATTTAATGTTATTGTAATGCTTTACTTTTCATTTTTCTAGGCCGCTTATTTCCTTTTTCTTACTTGCAATATTATTTAACACCTTACATTTGTTTAGTCTTATATTTTCCCAGTTGATGTTTTCTTTTGTTAATCTGATTAAATTGTAATTCAGAAAATGCTTTTAACATAAATATTCTAATTTTAATGCCTATTTTTTTATATCTAGGGAATAGGATGCCTGAATATCTCTACTAATGTGAAAATTGTTTTTGAAGAGCTTCTAAATGCATTTGGGTTTCTGTAATGCTTAATATGTCTAGAAATGTATAGAAAATGTCAACTTTTTGACAATAATAATTTTATAGGATTTAATTCTCTTTTTTAATCACATTTAGGTGCTTAGAAACAGTTTTCCAATGGTAAAGTGTTAATTTGCACTTTTTATTGCTGATTAATTTGGGGGAGAAATAATAAGATAGTAAATATTTGTGGTCTGAAATTGCACTTATTTGTCAGAATTTGTAATATATATGTGCAACATCAGTATGGGATCATTCTTACCCCCAAAATGTGGTATGGTTTGGCTTTCAAAAGGGTCCACAAAAAGTGAAAGAAGCATTTTTTTTGGTATATTATTTTTAGCCAACAAATGGTTTTCCCAGTTTTTTTCTGAGATGTTTTAATTCAATTTATAACCCAATACCAGTTGTCTTTCAGAGGATGCTTTTGTGATTTGTAAAAAGGCAGAATAATGAAAGGCGGGCAGGATGAAATTCGCCAAAGGAAGAGCCTATTTTAAAGTGTTAGGTTTTATACATTGGACTTATCGCTTGTCCTGAAGGTAAAATTTTGGAAAATCACTGCTTCATTGGGAATTTTAAGGTTTGACCTCTCTGTTTTGATTTGTGTTATCAGGGGCTAAAGTCTTGGAACCAGGGCTAGCTTGGCTTCATGGGTGTTCAGATGGGTCTCAAACTTGGTTTAATAATCTGTGTAAAATTGGCGTTGTACAGTATAAAGGTGAACCGTAAAATTCATGCTAATAATTTAAATTTTTAAATTTTCTTAGAACGAATTAATCAGCAAATAAAAAAACCACCGTGACAAGTGGAGAAGAGACCTTAGAAGAAAGGAGAAAGCTGTATGTCTTAGTATCTTTAATGACACTTTCTTCCTGCTTTGAACAAGGGGCCCCACATTTTCATTTTGCCCTGCGCCCCTAAAATTATGTAGCTGGCCTGTTGTCACGGTTGCCCTTTCCCATTTTAAATGTTGTGAGAGTGAATAACAAACTGTGAGGAGAATGCATCTTTAGCTTATGAGGGGTTGAATTAATTTATTAGCATATATCTCCTCTGAATTGGAATGCTGTATCTTGTGTCAGGGTTTTTTTATTGAAGAGAAATGAAAGATAGTCATTGGTAAAGCATTGTAGGATAGTTGGTTAAACGCGAAGGCTCTGAAGTCAGGCAGACCTCAACTCTATTACTTATTGAGAATTATAGCCTTGGACAACTTACTTAACCTCTGAGCTTTGATTTTTCTCCTCTTTAAATCAGGGATAGTTACAGAACATAGAGGGTTGTGAGGATTAAATTTATCTATTCATCCAACAAATATTTATTAAGCACTTATGTGCCAAGTGCTGTTCTTTCTGAGTTCTGGGAATACAACAGTCAATGAAACAAAATTTTTAAAAAAGGGAAAACCAAACAGCAAAAAAGTAAACTAAGGAAAATAAGCCTATATCTTCACTTACTATACTAAGGAGAAATTAAACAGAAAAAGAAAGTGGGGGTTTTCTGGTTGATGGGGCATATAGGAGGTTTTTTAATTTTAGTTTTTATATATTTTAATTGGTTTTAGAGGGAAGGGAGAGGGGGAGAGAGAAAAACACCTCCTATATGCACCCCGCCTAGGGATCAAACCTGCCGCCTTTCGGTGCATAGGGCGACGTTCAATCAACTGAGCGACACCGGCCAAGGCTAGGAGGTTTTTTACTTGAAGGGGTTTGGGGAAGGCTTCACAGGTGACACTGGAGGAAAGACCTGAAGGGAGCCATGTATATCTGGGGATGGAGTGGTCCAGACAGAGGGAGTAGTAAGTGCAGAGGCCATAAGTTGGGCATGTGGCTGGTTTTCAAGAAAAAGCAAAGAAGCCAGTGTATCTGGAGCATGGTGAACAGGGAGGAGAGTGATGGGAGGTAATTATTAATGATGTTTTTAGGAATCATTCATTGGAGGGGCTCTCATAGTTCCTCTTTGCTGTAGGTAAATGATGTGCTGCTGCTGGGTCCAAAAGTGGAAGGCCTTTTCAGAATTAGAAATTTTAACTTTTGGAGTAAAGAAACTAGAAAAGACAAGATACTTCCTCAGATGTTCTCTTTTTAGTATAAGAGCCTTAAAGCTCATCTGGCTAAATTATTGAAGCAAATAAGAACAAATAGGAAATTTATTTGATGTCTCTGATAAGATTATTGAATTTAGTTAATGATTTTGCATCATTTAAAGATTTGCAGGATATCCATGTCATAACATTGAGACCTTCAAAAAGATTTAATTCTTGTGGAGGACTGAAATGTTAACATTATGGTGTCAATGATTTCAAGTTAGGGTGTAACTTAGAAGATTTGGGGTTTTATTCCCCAGTAGAGGTTTTTCCTAGAATTCTCACTGGATCCAAGCTCTAAAGGCTAGGGAAGCTGTTTTCCATGACATCACCCTTGGATTACTTTTACTTGTAGTGAGGAATGAGCAGAGGAGCATTAAATTAAAATCTTCTGATGAAAAAATGGCATTGAAGCAGGAGTGGTTTTTTCTTACAAGGTTTCATGTATTATAGGACGACTAAATGCTAAACATACCTGAAAAGTGAAGTAATTTGGATAATAGGTGCCAACCTGGAGGCTGAAGGACCCAGAGCCTTCCTAAAAGCTTAGTAAACGGTCATTTGCAATTTGGTCTTGAGTTATAAAAACATTTAGATGGACAAGGGAGAATTTCCAGTATTAAACAAATTCAAGTTAATTTACACAGCCTTTCCCCCCATATTAAACATATTTCTGTATTTGAGTAGTATATCTGAGGGTAAAATGACTGCTAACAGAGCTATTAAAGTTAGTCTATTTTCAAATTTTTATGTCCTTTTAGATTGAGACGTTGGCCTCTTTGAGATTGTTGAATTTAAAAATTTTACTATATAGGTTACCAAAATTGTAAGAAATTTTATGACTCAGAAATTAATTCTATTTTTAACTGTAGTAATTCTTGCATTGCCTTTTTAGTATACAAACATGGCATTTTATGCATAGACATCAGCTTGGGTAAGCTAAGAAGTCTGAGAATAAAGGTAATATGAAATAATTAAAAATTTTCATCAAAGATAAGTGTATCAATCTCTGAGAATCTATCTTTCCTACTGGATAGCTCAGGGTTTTGTATGAATTTTCAAGCAGCTGTGGGGGACTGTGAAAGCATTAAATTACTGCTTATGGTATAAACGTGGAGGTTAGTTAATTTTGAAACATCTTCTATTGTCTAGAATTTTACCTTCAAATCAGAATGGCAGCCTTCTAACTGAAAAGGAAGCATTTAATTTCTTTGCCTTTAATTTCCTGTCCAATTTTACCCCCACCAGACTTTTTTCTTTAGTGGTCACTAGAGAGTTTGAACTGTTAGAAATTTCTGTGATATAAATAGCAGTAATAGTCTTCCAGGGCAGAGGTAGTTTGGTGTAAGTGTGTGTGTTGTCATTTATCCCTTATCATTGTAACTGTCAGTGGTACTCAGACCTTTTGGTTTCCGGACCTCGTTATACTCTTAAAAATTATTGGGATCCCAGCGAGCTTTTGTGTATGTGGGTTGTATCTATATTTACCATAATAGAAATTTAATCTGGGAAATTAAAAAAAAATTTGTAATTCATTTTAAAAAACCCTACTCATTTATCTAAACATTTTTATGAAAAATGACTTCTCCAAAAGAATAAAAACCTGGTGAGAAGAGTGGCGTTATTTTACATTTTTGCAAATCTCTTTAATATCTGGCTGAATGAAAGACAATGGGCTTCTTACCACTTCTGCATTCAGTCTGTTATGGTATGGTATCACACAGCCTCTGGAAGTTGGAATAAGAGAAAAAGACAAATAACTTTTTAATATATATATATATCTTTATTGATTTAAGAGAGAGGAAGGAAGAGAGAAACATCAATGATGAGAGAGTCATCATTGATCGGCTGCCTCCTGCACACCCCCCACTGGGGACCGAGCCTGAAACCTGGGCATGTGTCCTTGATCTCCTGGATCCTAGGTCTATGCTCAGCTGCTGAGCCACGCCCGGCCGGGCAAGACAAATAACTTTTAAAATTATTATGAAAATAGTTTTGACCTTGCTGCAAAGTCCTTTTAGGGGACTAGTACCTTAGTTGTACCTAGACCACACTTTGAGAATCACTATATTAATCGTTTTTATGCATAGAAAAATGTGAGACTTTCTTCTTTCTCTAGTCAGTTCCAAGTTTATGGAATAAGAAAAACTCTTCTGTATTTCTTTCCTACTAGTATAAGTATACTTTGTGATTTAGTTTAATTTGATTTGGTTAACCCTTTTAAAAAACATACTATTTCAAATTCTGAAGACCAAGTATAGAATACTTACATATACAGGTTTATAAACAGTGATTTCTCTTAATCTGATGATCTGTTCTGAAAAGCGAGGATACAGAATTTCTGTACATTAAACATTTTGTATGTTGGTAAATATCTTTTCTCAAAGTCCCTTAATGGATCCCCCTTTAGCCCTCATTGATTTATAGAGTTCTTTTTTTTTGTTAATCCTCACCTGAGGATATTTTTTCCATTGCATTTCAGAGGGAGTGGAAAGGAGGGACGGGGGAGAGAGAGAGACACATCAATTGGTTACTTCCCACATGACTGGGGGCCAGGGATCAGATCGAACCTGCAACCCAGGTACCTGCCCTTGACCGGGAATCATCCAGGACCATTCAGTGCATGGGCCAATGCTGTAACCACTGAGCAACAGTGGCCAGGGTGATTTATAGAGTTCTTATTTGAGTTTTGTTTCATTTTACAATTAGTGTTTATATTTATTCCTTAAATTACTATAACTATTCATTTAGAGAATTCTTATGCTTAAGGTTTTGTATATTTTCCTCTGTATTCTTCTTACATTTTCATTTTTCTACCTATTATTTTTTATTTGCTTCACTTTTTTTTCTTTTCTTTGTAGCTTCCAGGTTGTGTATTGTGAACAAGTTGGTTTTGTTTCATGTATTCATTTGTAAGTTTGGTTGTTTGATGTCTTAAACATTGATGTTACAGATCTGTGCTGTCCTACAGAGTATAATCCCAGCCTTATATGTAAATTTAGGTTTTCTCATAGTTTAAAAAAAATAAAAAACAAGTGAGATTCATTTTAATATATTTTATTTAACCCAGTATATCCAAAATACTATTTCAGCATGTTTTCAGTATTAAATTTGTATAATGAGATATTTTACTTTTTTGGACTAAGTATTCCAAATCTTGTCCATTTTTCAATTTGAACTATCCACATTGGCTTCCATGTTGAACAGCACATAGAGGAGAGTAGTTACTCTGGTTAGGGCAGAAAAGCCTAAGGAGCCCAGAAAAGCTAGAAAATTATAGTTGCGTGATGAGAAAAAATGGAAGCCAATGTCACTGCAAAATGAGGTTGTGTTTTGACTACTAGTACATGTCCTAATCTCTTATAGACTTGCATTGTGATAAGCCCTAGGGAGGCATGGGGCCTATAGAGAGGAATTGGAGGGGTGTCAAGTTCCTCTGGTCTTGTGGGGTGATGAGCATTAGGCAAGCTTTGGGCAAGGCACGCCAGTGTTGATTGACCTCTGGGTGGGTACCTTGGTCTGAGCTAGACATTTAACTTACATTAACTTATTTAATTACCACCCCAACTCAAGATGATGATGATTATTCCTAATAAATGGATGGAAACTGAGGTCAGGAAGTTAAATTTCTCCAGGTCACACACGCACAGATGATAAAGTACTAGTAAGCTCTCTGATTTCAAAGGTTTTGCTCTTTCTAACCATAGTATTTTGTGGGGTTTTTTTGCAAATCAGATTCTAGTTTAGCTCTAT